ATCCTTTTGGAACCCCCTCCAACCTCCACCCACCCTGGGAGAGTCAAAAGCTCTCCGTTCTAGACTGCAGGAACACATTGCAAAGCCTCCTCCATTTGGCTCACACTTTGTCATAACTGAAATGTTACTGCAGACACACAGCCATTCTACGGGCTAGACCCTGGGACGGCATCCGTGAGAAGAAGAAAGGTAAGGGTCCTCCCCTTCTGGAGGTTCTGTCTCACTGTGGAATCTGATGAGACCTAAGCCAGGTAGGACCCAGGACCCAGCCCAACAACTTTCCAAAGTCTCAGTCCTAGTTTGCCACTTTGCCATTTTGGAGCCATCAAAAACTACAGGTCTCTGAGCCCTTCCTCCCCATTGGTTATCTACTGCTATGTAACCCCCAATTCAATGGCTTAAACAGCCCTTATTGTCACATCATTTCCATGGGCCAGGAATCTGGGCACAGCTTTGCCAGGTGGCTGTGACTGATGTAAGGTCTCTTGTGAGACTTCGGTCGGGCTGTGGCCAGGGCTCTAGTCCTCTCAAGGCCCAGGATCTGCTTGCGAGCTCACCCCTGTGGTGGCTCGTAAGATCTACTTCCAAGGACTCCCACAGGTCTTCCCGTGGGGCTGCCTCATGACAGGGCCACCAGCTTTCCTGAAAGGGGTCACCCAAGATGGAAGCCACGGTTCTGTAATAACCCCATTTCAGAAGTGATACCCCATCACTTCTGCATATTCTGTTCCTTAGAGGTGAGTCACTAAGTCCAGCATTCCTTAAGGGGAAGAACCCACCCCTGTCCGGAGCCACAACCACTGGTGGGCATCCTAGAAGCCGCCTTCCCCGGCCTGCAGGTGCTTCCCTGACTGGCTCACCTCACCCTCACTCTGCCCCACCTGCAGCAGGGGTCGTGCTGCAGCTCCCGAATATTCTTGCTTCTGTAATTGGGATTGGTCTGGTTTTTCTCTCCCTGTAGGAACGCAAGCTCCTAGAGGTTGGGAGTCACGTGCTCTACATCTCTTTATTTCTCCCTTAAACCATCCTTGCACCCTCACTAGTTTCTATCATTAGATAATTCAGCCTCAAGTTAAAAATAAAACTGTATGACAGTAAAAATGTCTCAACAGTTGGGCTTGATGATCTCCCTTAACAAGAGATTTGGAGGTAGGCATTTCCAGGCTCCACTCCGCTACTCAACGATGCCAACCAGGCCCCAGGCTCACCTGCCAACCCACTGTGCTGGCCTTTGTCCCCCGGATTGTCCCTGCTTGGACTCAAGGTCACGCTGTAGCACCAACACCACCTCCTCCCCCGGAGACCGGAAGTAGAGGAGGAAAACTTTCCCCTGAGCCTCCCAGGGCCTGGTCCCTTCAGACTCATTGTTCAGAACTGAATCGACCGTCCCTACACCATCCTCTGCCAGCCAGGAATCCAATTACTGTGATTGGCTTCGACTCACAGCCCTCAGTAGAGATGGGTGTGGGAGGTACCGTTGGCCTCTAGGATTTTGGAAAGTGTGAGGCTGTCACAGCATCCAGGAAGGGCCGTTGGCATTTAGCAGGTCGGGACCCGGCTGCTTAAACTTTCAACAAGCATGCACTAGGCAGCTCCACAAAACCAGTTGTTCTTCTGCTCGGAGGTCAATATTGTCTTTGCTGGAAGCTGCTGACTTAGATCAGTGGTTCTCAACCAAGGATGGTGCAGCGCCCCCTCCACTGGTGGCGGTTTTCAGAGTTTGAGATGTTTTGGTCGTCACAACTAGGGGTTGCTACTGGCACCTACTAGGTTGAGGCCAGGGAGGCTGCTGAAGGTTCTACGGTGCACATTCTAGCCCTGCAGCTGAGAGCAACCTTGCTCAAACTGTCAATCATGCTGAGGCTGAAACACCCTGGTTCAGACCCATCAGAGTCATCTCTGAGTTGGGCTCAGCGGCTCAGTGGCAAACCCGGACCTGGTCTTTGTTCAGAGGAAGGGGGAAGGTTCCTGGGCCGGTGGCTAGTGTCAGCCTTAAGCCCCTGTTCATCGGCCAGCTGGGCAAATGCTCAGCTCAGCTCACGTCCGAAATGGCCTCCTGTGTACCTGAGGTGTTGGCAGCCAGGGAGGTCAAGAAATGGGTGGAAGGCAAGGTTATGGGTGTTTGAACTTGGTGTTATCTGTTTTATTTTTTCTCAACTCTTACTCTTATTTCAATGTTCTATATCTCAGTTTCTTTCCATAAAGTGAGCTTCATAACCGTGGCCTCCACCCTGGAGCTGAATACATGCTGAAAGCTACATGTTTCTTGCTTTAATTTGAGTGGTACCACAAGGCCTGCCCACCCCAACTGTCCTATGCTAGGCCTGGGAAGTCACACTGGGCCTCGAAGGCTCATGGTGAGAGTCACTCACGTGGGCTCAGATCATGTGTTAGGATGATGAGAAGTGTGGGCTTTGGCGTCAGACACACCTGAGTTTACATCCCAGCTAGTGGCGGGACTTTGGGCAGGTAGCTTCCCACTGAAGCCTTCATGGGAGAATGACAACAACTCATGGGGTTCGTGTGAGACCCAGCTGAAACAATCAGACAGCCCTTGGCCCATGGTAAACTCCCAGTTAGTGTGCTCACCTCATCCGCCAGCATGTCGTCTTCGCCACCTCTCCAGAAAGCCTCTGTTGAAGTCCAAGTACGGTTTAGGGGTGAGGTGCATCCTTGGTACCATCAAATTACAGGACTAGAAGGTAGCTTGTGAAGGGCAGAGAGCTGGGCCCTGAGCACAGGAAACCTTCACTAAGTCTGGGGGCCCGAGCGCAGGGTACATCCTGGAGGGAAAGTCCTGGGATAGTGCCACCATGAGGGGCGACAGGAAGACTGAGTCCAGGGGGGAGGCAGTGAGACTGGAAGGGGTCTGGGTTATGACACACTGCAGCATCTACTCAGGAATAAACTAGCGGAAGTTCCTACACAATCTAGAACAGGGGTGGGCAAACTGCAGCCCCGGGCCAAATCCAGCCCCCTGCCTATTTTTGTAAATAACATTTTGTTAAAACGCAGCCATGCCCTTCCCTTGGGTATTGTCTGTGGCTGCTTTTGTGCTACAAAGGCAGGGTTGAGTGTCTGGGTTGACTAGTCGAAAAAAGAGAATGTATATCCTGCAAAGCCTAAGCTATTTTATCCTCTGGCCCTTCATAGAAAAAAGTTGCTGCTCTCTGGTCTAGAGGGCTTCATTCACATGGACGGCAGTGACTAGGGTCACGAACCTTAGAGTCAGACCGGCTTGACCGTGAGATGCAGGGTGTCACCTAGAATTGCGCAGTGCGCAGGCTGTTCTACCGCAAACAGTTCCCGCCCTGCCTGAGGAGGGTTTCCTGCCAGTTTTGGGGTGCTCCGAAGAGGGAAGAAAGCAGCGTCTTGGAAATGTCAGCACCTCACCAGAGGCCATAGCTCCTGCTGGGAGTCAACAGCATGAAGTTTGGGGGGATCTGAGCAGGCAGAGGAGGTGAGTCTAAATTTAGACTTTCCACAGAGCTGCTTTGTAAACCGGAGCCCCAGGAAGCCCAGAAAGGGGCAGTTGGCACACACCATCTCATCTCTGGTTTGCCTCCACACGTTTGAAGGTTGAATGCATGAGAGGATAATTAATTGGCCTTAAATAAGATGTTTCAGGAGAGTCAGGGTAGAGTCGGTGGAGAGATGAAGCTCCATTGTCAGGAGACCCGGGGTAGATATTTATTCTCCTGTGTTTGCTTACGATAGTCACCATGAAACTGTGGGAGTCTGGGGTACCCTGGAAAGAATTACGTACCTTCTTCTAGCTGGGTGTTATTGGAGCACAGCTGAACCCATGACCTTCCTTCCTCTCAAGGTGAATGCCAGGTCCCTGGTTTGAAGTCACAGTTGTGATTCAGAGCAGCTCTGAGCCACCAGCTCCACTTGGAGGCTGGATGTGCCGCCCCCTGAAGCTGCGTTGTGCCAAGGGCTGCCACACTCAGTCTTCTGCCTGGCTGGGCACATCCGATGCCAGGTCTGCCCCTCTCCAGGGCCGATGGGCCCGTACTTCTTGGTATGTCACACAAGCAACGAACCACTAATCTGAGACTTCTTAGGTAATAGGTGTTTGTAATCAGTCTACCTGTGGAAAAAGACAAAGCTTTGACAGTAGAAATTGTAGAGAAGTTATAGAGAGAAACATAGAAAATAAAGAGATTTGGTTCAAGATGCATCACAGCAAACTCAAATGGGAACAGAGGGGGTCAGACAAGGGCCACCTGGTTGGTGCTGAAACTCAGAGAGGCAGCATCAAAGCAGAAGATGATGAGGAGTGGGTGGAAGTTCAGGGATAACTGTTCATCTGAGCGGTCGGGGCCTGCTGTGGGCAGAGCCCGCCAAACACGCCGCCCTGCAGTGGCACGTGCAGCCAGGCCAGGCTGGCTGTCTAGGGCTGTGGGCATCATGATGGTGGGGACGTAGCTGAGGCTCCTTGGGGACCCCAGTCCACCATTGTTTTCTATACTTCAAGCCCTGGACTTAAGCTTGAAGTCTAATCGAGTGGTGGACATGTATGAAATTTAACTAACACTCTTGTAGGGGGCCAGTTTGTCTTGGCACAGGGTGTGCAACACACTCCGAATGATATGCACACGGACACTATAGGAGTTTGGGAAGCAGAGACATGTCCCTGAGGACCAGGGTGGATGCATCTCCAAGGAAGCGAGACCTCGTCTGGATCCTGAGTGATGGGCTGGGCAGGATTTCAACAAGTGGGGAGGAAGCAGGAGAACATTTCAGGGCCCGCGAAGGTGCACGCAGAGAAGCAAGGCAGGGATTGGCAGAGTATATTTAGAGGCCCACGAGGAAGGTGGCGAAGCTGTGCCAGGTGACGTGGTGCCAGCCCACTGAAGGTGACAGCGTGTTGGGAAGACCACACATACCCACTCAGACACGGGCAGATACATGCAGGGCAGATAGTCCCTCCACCCTGTGAGAGGGAAAGGAAAGAGTTTTCAAAAATAAATAAAGCACCTCTTAATTATTCACAGATTATCTGCATTGCAGCTGATCTCGAACAAACCCTGCTTTCAGCCAGCTGGTGATGTCATCTCCTCGCTGCTTAGGTGCGTGTTCCCGTCTCTGTTTACAACCCAGTGAGTGCTGGAAAGGAAGAAGGCTTAGGTCTCGCCTCGAAAAGCAAAACAGATCGTTGCCTCTGGTGGCTGTGCCCTTGAAAACCAGACGGGGCCCGTGGGTAGAAAGTGACAGGAGCTCCAAGTGGCTTTCTGCTACCTGACTTGGACAGCAGGAGCCAGAGGAGGGATGGAACGGGACCCCGGGGCACCTCTGTTGTGGCCCAGCATTGACTGCCATTGGCCAGGAATCCCCAAACAGAGCGAATGGTCTTCATTTATCACTTCATCAAGTGTTTATCGACCCTGTCTGTGCTAGAAGCACTGAGCTGGTATTCGCTGAGCTTCGTGCCCTCGTGTGCAAGGTGAGAACTTTGTCTTTCAGTGGAGGCGCTGGCATTTGGGGGTGGGTATCGGCTATTCACTGACGAAGGAGCTTGGCCAGATGGTAAGCCAATCTGACCCTGCCCATCAAAGGTCAGCAGTGACCCCTCCTCAAATGAGCTGGGGAGGGCAAGCCATCCCCAGTTAAGGACGATTGGGTTTGTTTGCCACAATTGCTCCCCAGTCTGAAATTCTGCCAGTCTATGATTATTTTGCTGCTGGGCCCAATACAAACATACAAAGTGAAATTGCTGAAGATCTGATGAAAAACCAGAATAGTGGGTGCATCTTATTTAAGTGTAAGGGAATTTCCAACAGTAGCAACAATAGGTGACATCTTTTGGGCAAGTGCTATGTTCCAGACCCTTGGCAAATTTCTTTCACTAGAAGTTTTTAGAGGGGATCTGATTACTCACTATTTCATGTCATCTGTGTCCTCTAATTTGCCTTCTTAATGTCAGAGCATCGACTGTTGTTTTGCTCCATTTGTCATTTCCAGAAATGTGCAGAGTACAGATATGAAAGTATTCCCTGCAGGGGACCCTGCAGTGTGATGGGAATAAAGAAGGAGCCCTAGCTAGATTCACTCTTTTGTTCTGGATGCAGTGTTTGTTCTTCGTGTGTGCATGGACTTAATAAACTTATGAAACCTGCCACTTCCTTAGAAGCTATAATATTATTGCCTTTACCTCAGAGGTCTGAATTTACATGGATAGTTTTGCAGGTTTCCCCCCCCACCTTGGGTCGTAGGCCTGTAATTGGAGGGGGCAGCCACCAGGGAGCAGTCAAGACTGGATATGACCCATTGCTTTGAAGAGCTAGGTCCCCATCATCAAAAAGAATACTGTGCTAGTCCTGGTGTCATGCTAAGACGTCTGTGCCCTGGTGCCCTGGCCGGGTGGCTCAGTTGGTTGGAGCATTATCCATGCACCAAAAGATTACGGGTCCAATTCCTGGTCAGGGCATGTACAGGAGGCAATCCCTCATGTTTCTTTCTTCCTCTCCTCTTTCCTCTCTCTCTAAAATCAATAAAAACATATCCTCAGGTGAAGATTTAAAAAAAAGTCTGTGCCCTGGTTTCCTGGGCAGAATCCCTTGATTAGAGTGGCAACATAATTTCCTTTTAATTTGGTGTGTGTGCTTATGCCACTTACGTGGGAATCAAGAGATGCAATTGTAATTAAATTTCTAATTTGAATATTAAGTTATTAAAATATGCAAAGACATTAGCAAAAGAAGGAAGAAAGGGGATCCAAGTGGAAAACAAATTTATTGATTCTTTATTTTTCTATCTGCAACCCGTTACTTTTTACTCTCAGCCTTCCCAGCTGGTGCTGTTGGGTGTTTGGAGAGCTTAGAGAATGAATTCTGCAAAGGTCAGAGCCCATCACTCCCACCTGCAATTCATGTATGTTAACCTTAGGGAAGCAAGTATTTACATAAAAGGCACACCATTTGATGATCTTATCAAATCAGTCCGTCTTCTCTCTTCCAGGGGAGTGCTGCACACAGCAGGAGGGGTGGCTGGGCCGTGCAGAGCCTGGAATCCCCTGAGCAAGCAGTGTTTCAGCTGGCTGGACAGATCAAATAACACTAGGGCTGGTTAACAAAAGGCAGGCAAGTGGGAAGGTGTTGGAAGCCAGAGTGTGGAAATTTACCCAACGTTTTTCTGTGACAGGGAAGGAGACTCTGAAAGATGCCGTGTTCCTGCAGCCACGCCGAGCCCTGCAGAGCACAGTCTCGTTCGAGGTGGCGTGGGTGAGGGGGTGACAGAGGATGCTGCCCCCGCTGAAGCCTCCGGAGGAGCCTGGCCTGGCAGCTGAACGCCCCTGGGATTCGGGACTTAGGTGTAACTTGGTGTAGAGCTCACACTCACAGTGCTTGAGTTCCTCCAGCTTTCTTCACTGGCACTCACCAGGCTGGTTTGGGTTGCAGAATCCAAGGTGAGCTGGTAGAAAGGAGAGCTGGTAAAGGTGGAAAGAAGCCCCTAGAAGTCTCCAGAATCCATTGTTGGGATACCTTCATTCTGCTGAGGACACAGAGAGCAGCCACGCACGAAGCTGCCTGGGGCTGTGATACCACCGAGCTTTGGACCATCAGCAGTAAAGGAACACAGTTCAGCAAAGGCATTGCAGCCCCAAGGAATCTCTTTTAACAACGGATTTAAAGGGGAGAGTTTCTGCACTTTTACTTTGTGGTCCATTCTGATAACTTGACACACAGAAAGAAACATGAGCCATTGTAAGTGTGGAGGAGGGCTTGGGATCCACAGGAGTTGGTGGACAGCCCTCCCAGGGCAGGTTAACAAAGCAGTGTGAGCCTCCGGCTTCTGCAACTCGGCAAGCATGGACATGTGCCACTCTGGTCTCTGGAGAGTTGGTGGCAGTGACATCACCATAAGAAAAAGCATCCCTCCGCTTTGGAACTTGACAGAATGAGGTGTGCTGGGGAAGCCACTGGCCGGGGCTTGGCCTTTCCTGACTGCCCCTCCATCACACGGGCAGCCCCTGACCACCACTGAGCCAACGATGGCCGAGAAGGGTGACTGCATTGCCAGTGTCTACGGGTATGACCTCGGTGGGCGCTTCGTTGACTTCCGGCCCCTGGGCTTTGGCGTCAATGGGCTGGTGCTGTCGGCCATGGACAGCAGGGCCTGCCGGAAGGTGGCCGTGAAGAAGATCACCCTGAGCGACGCCCGCAGCATGAAGCATGCGCTCCGGGAGATCAAAATCATCCGGCGCCTGGACCACGACAACATCGTGAAGGTATACGAGGTGCTGGGGCCCAAGGGCACCAGCCTACAGGGCGAGCTGTTCAAGTTCAGCGTGGCCTACATTGTGCAGGAGTACATGGAGACCGACCTGGCCCGTCTGCTGGAGCAGGGCACCCTGACAGAGGAGCACGCAAAGCTATTCATGTACCAGCTGCTCCGCGGACTCAAGTACATCCACTCCGCCAACGTGCTGCACAGGGACCTGAAGCCCGCCAACATCTTCATCAGCACGGAGGACCTCGTGCTCAAGATCGGGGACTTTGGGTTGGCGAGGATCGTTGATCAGCACTATTCGCACAAGGTACGTCTGGCTGGAATGGCTGATGGGGGAGCCCGTGGAGTCCTCCAGCCTGCTCTCGATGTTTTGGAGTGTCCTGAGAGTGCATTGCTAGTTCCATGGGAGTCGGGGCTGGGGACTGTTTCTGGGGGTAGTGGGAGGGTGCTGGAAAGACCACTGGCCTGAAAAGATGTGGTAGGGGGGAGGTTTGGGTTCTTGATCTTGGCTCTGCCCAATGGCCTTGAATAATAACTCCTGGCTGTGCAAGAGGGGATTGGACTAGATTGCTTCTAAGATTTCTTCCAGCTCCAAACTCTATGGCTTTAAAATTGTGCAGCTGGTGAATTTGCCTATAGGATCCTCCAACCCCCCCTTCCCCGTATTGCCTGCTCAGGCCTCCTGATGAGGCTTCTCACCACACATGCTGTGGTTCGTCTTGCCTCCCCCTTCCATCAAAGATTACCCACTCTCTGTCCCATTCTCTCTGTCAGTGGGCAAGGGCCACAAACAATAAATCTGATCAACTCATCCTCAGAGTTCATTATCCAGCAAATGGTTCAGGTGTTTTAGGTCCCACGATGCCCCTGCCCCTGAGTGAGATAAAGCTACAGGGGTCTGGATGGTACTACTGAGACCCCATGTGGTGGGTGGCTAAATGCCCCACCAGAGTGCTCAGGGGTCAGAGCTGACCCCCAGTATACTTGTGGAGATAGTGGCATACCCCCAGACCACTTCTTACCTAAGTACACTGCTCCTCTCAGGAGCTGGGAGTCCTTTGGAAGTCTGTTCCCTTTACCCCATGGTTCTGGCTACTTGGGGGAGCCTTTCAGTAGCTCAGCCTGAATGCATGTCACCAGGTACCCTTGACCAGAGCTGGGGGGTGGATGTCACTTCCAGCCTCCTGCCAAAACCTTTGTGCCACAAATTTTTATTAGAATGTAAACATTCCCTAGGAAGTACGTGTACCGTAAACTATTATCAGCCAAGGAGCTAGTGTGGGTTATGAAAGGGAAGGCTAGCTTGGATCTTGAACATGCCCCAGCACACTGTTTGCCTACAGCCAGAAGATCACAGATGTACAGAAAGGCGCCGACCTCTCTGGTGCAGCTGCAGCGGGAGGGCGTGCAGGGGAGAGGGAGGCAGCACTCCCTGTCCCACCTTCACTGGCTGGAACTTGGACTCCAGCCCAGATTTCAGAGCCCAAATCAGCTCAACTGGCTCTAGCTCCTTGGTGCCACCTTCCCCGTGAGATTGCCCTCTGCCTCCCAGGCCACATCTGTCAGAACTGACAGCTGACTCCTTGGGCAGGAATGTCTATGGCAAACAAACAAAAACACATCCATGTAAACACACATACCCGCAAGGTTTCCTGTCGTCCGAATGCTCTGTGCTGTTTCTACCTTCTCTTTCCTCTAAGGAGCAATGACTCCAAGCAATTGAACCAAAATTTTAACTCAAACCAGTTTTTATTTGGTAATCTTAAGAGAGCCCATGACACTCTTATTTCTGGGATGCACAAAACCGCCTTCTGAATTGGATTAAACTAGTACACTGGGAACAATAACAGGACCGTCCTTGATTACAGAGTCTAATTGGTGAAGTTTTGTATTATAGGGAAAATGCTCAGAACAGTTGTTCAGGAAAGTCAGCAAAGGTGACTTCTGGGGCAAGGATTGGCTGTAGAAATAAATCCTAGGAGGTGAGTGGTGTGAGGAGGCAGAGGCCTTCTGCTGGTGCTAGCTTGGGACACGGACTCTCCCCAGCTGGGACCCTTTTTCCCCTCCTTTGACAGGGATGATAACACATGCTCTGTCTGTCCTACTGGCTGTGGTTATGTGTCAAAATGGAGCATGAATGTAAAGCCCCTTGGACAGTAGTGAGGCCCCCATCCATTCATTTCTTGAGAGTTTTTTTGAGTGCATGCCAGGCTCAGGCCAAGTGCTGGGAGCCTAGGAGGTTCACTGACCACCCACTATAAGCAGCTGTTACCCCCTTACTCAGGGCAGGAAGCCGCTTCTTTGAAGGGGACTTTCACTGTCATGATCCAGAGGAATTTCAGTGTTCTGACTTACTCTCCTTGGGCTCTCTTCAATAATAGCTCTTGGAGGTTAAAAAAAAAATCACTGGAGCCAGTCACAAGCCCAGTAGGTGTGCACATGATCCCTGTGTTCGGCAGGCGCCACCCGCCTTGCCCACTCTTTTTCTCATCTACCTTCTGCTTTTAGCTTCCTCTCTTCTCTTCCCTGAGTGATGACGGAAGGGTTATATTTGGTGCTTTTCTTTATCCAAAGTGCACTGAAATCAGTTCTCATTAAATCCTCATAATGCTGGGAGGCACTTAGGGAAGATGGTCCATTCTGAAACAGAGAACTGGCTTTCTCCAGATTACTCGACCGATGGTGGCCAAAGGGGCACTGGAACTTGGCCTTCGTGGGTCTTGGTGGATGGCCTTCCAGTGCCCCATCTGCTTCAGGAAGGCTTTCTGAATCTGCAGTTGGAATTAGTCTTTCCTTCCTCTGGGCTTCCGTGTCACTTTTCCCCCATTCTGCAACCTGGATCTTCTAGCACTGACGACCATGCTCTGCTCTGTCTTGTGGGCATGTGCCTCTTGTGCTCTCCTAGGCTGGGAGCCCCTTGGTTCCTTGAAGGTTGTCTTTATGTTTGTGTTGGTTTCCTCCAGAGAGTCTAATCACTGTACCTGAGACCTGGCCCAGTTGATCTGGTTGGCTGTCTGAAGCAGGTGGAAGACTAGTCACTTACCAACTCATTCATACAGGAAGCTGGTAGAGTTTACTGATCCCACGTGGTTAGAAGCTTTGACAAAGAGCACATACAGGGAGAGACATTAAAATGTACACCTTTGCCCTGGCCAGGTAGCTCAGTTAGTTAGGGCATCATCGTCCCTCTAGGCCCAGGTTGCCGGTTCCACCCCTGGAGAGGACACATACAAGAATCAACCAATGAATGCATAAATTAGTGGAACAACAAATCAGTGTTTCTCTCAAATCCATAAACAAAATAAAATGTATACCTTCAAAACTTAAATAGATGAAAATTAATGTACAATTTGTACATGCATAATGAGAGCTAATATATAAAACAATTCTAATGGAATCAGAGGAGGAAGAAAACAAAGAGCACATAATTCTTCCAGCTGGTGGATTGCTTGGGGTCAGATTTGTGCATCTGCTCTCACTGGTGTGTGTGGAGGACGTTGTTTACATGTGAACTGCTCTGAATTTGACCCTCTCCTAAACCTTTTTGGATTCCGTTTTGAAGAGCCTATGCCCACCTGGGATGCAGCAAGTGCCTTGGTTTAAGTTACAAAAAAGGTGACCGTTTTTCCAGACTGATTGAACTCAGTGCCAGGGACAGGCTTCGTGATGCAACCGGGGGCTGGACTGAGCCCCCAACCCAGCACAACCCACCTAGCACTAAGCAGCAGCTGGGACCTCAGCATCCACACCAGGCCTTTCCCATGGGTGGACAGTACATCTCCTAAACCTTTACATCCCCTCCTCTAACACGAAGTCCGGCACAGGGCAGGGGGCTGTTGTGTTTGTCTGCTGACGGAGATGCTGGTGAAAGTTGTCTTCTTTAAGGAGCAGCTGGGAGCACCAGGCTCCAATCCAAGTTTGGGCTCGTGTCCCCCACCACACTACCCCTGGCGGTCTTGGTCTTCTCGAGGTCCACAGGGTAACTAGAGGCCCCAGAAGCTCACACTGTGAGCGAGATGGTAGTGGTGACAGTGCAGTGGGGGTGCTCTGGTGGCTGTCTCTCACCAGAGGCAGCTGGGGGAGCACTGGTCTTGTTTGTGTCGTTAGTGCTCACCTCACCACCTGCATGACTCCAGGCAAGTCCTTTTATTTGTGTAGCTTATCCTTAGAATAAGAGGAAAGTAAGACCTCCCAGTCATCGTAGGCATTTCCTTCACTTCACAGACAATAAAACTGAGACCTAGAAAGGAAGAGAGACCTGCTCAAGGTCACATGATAAATGGCTTGGCCAGGAGTGCGATGCCCGTGTTTCAGCTCCGTGTCCACCGACTTTCCTGAGCCCCTCTTCTCCGTGGCCTTGTGGACCAAACAGGGTCCTCACTGCCTTTCAGATGACTTCATGGGACTCATGTTGGAGTCGAATGCAAGTGCGGATGTCAAAGTGCTCTCAGATGGAAGCTAAATCACTAACAGATCTATTTGCCCAATAAATGCCACGTTACAGGATGGGGAAATGACAGACATCAGATGTCAGTTCTCTCCAGCCCTGGACCCCGCCCCCTGACCCCCCCCCCCGACTGAAATATGGAACCAGCTCCTGGTTCCAAAGTCAGAAGGGGCCCTGTGTGAAGGGTGGCCTCCCACGGAGCATGTTGTCCTTTGAATTTATCCTATTAGGAAGTCGATGATCTCGAAAGAGAGGAGAGAATGTTGTTTGAGACTTCACTGAGCCCTGTGTAAATTCTAAGAAATGTCAGGAGCCCCCCGGGAAACTGCAGAGGGCTCAGTAGCACATTGACAGCCTGATTAGCTCCCCTCCAGAGGGGCCACCGTCTGCCACGGGAGGGCGCCGCCTTTTGCCCTTGTGGTGGGGGCCGGGAGGCTGCCAGCAGACTTGCCCTTCCTGGGGGCGGTAGACAGAAAATACCCAGGGAAGGAAGGAAGATAGGAGGCTCATCAGAAGTTGGGCAACCACAGGCTCTTGCATTTTGGTGGATCATTCCACAGAATCTAAGTTTCCTGCCTGGCTGGCCTGCCTTGGCAGCATCCTGACCCTGACCCGTCCCTGCTTCAGAGCCCTCTACTTTCTTACATCAGTCATGTTGAGAATGCTTTCTCACTGTGCCTTCGTGTCTCATGAAGATTCCTTAGAAACTAACCAGGGCAGGGTTGTCAAAGTGGGTGCTGGGCGAGTGGTACCTGCTTCACCTGGGAAGTTGTTCAAGATTCACACCCTCAGGCTCCGTCAGAGACCTGCTGAATCAGGAGCTCAGGGCAGGCCCTGCAAGCTGTGTGATTCCAATGCTG